AGGACAACACCGACAAGGAGGACTAGCCAGCACTAATGACGAGTCTCACAATAGCGTACCACAATGTGACAAGTCGGGCTGCTGCTACTAGCATGGTGCCAACGCAGTGCACCGATCAGGCACCACACCGGTGCTAGGTGGATGAAACAATTTTTCGCCCTTTTTTTTCAGGGCGAGGGCAGGGCCCCTCCGCCCGTTATCAGAGCCAATTTATACACATCGAAGTTGGTACGTAAATAAGTCTATTTCGCGATCTACCCATAATATCGAGTCGGGACTAGTACCAAACGAATGCTTATCGAATTTTAGGAACAATGGCATCAGCCGTTTTCTGGTTTATAGCTTGTGGTAGGAGCTATAATCGATTTAAGATTCTCCGTTAGGATGTCCGCTCAAAAATCGTCACTTGCATTCTTAAGGTGGGATTGGTCTAGTGGTATGCGCCGCGGCTGACGACCGGAAGATCCCCGGATCGAATCTCGGGTAAGATAAAACAAACTTTTTATATTATTTTAATATATCTGTATTTTAATCATTCTAAGACCTATTTCGTGGCGCGTGAGAAGTATATGCAACTTTCTATACCGCTATTCCCGATGTAATAATATGATCTGTCGGTTCAAAGCTCATGGCTCGGCTGTGTAGGGGGCCCCACATAGTGGGGTCTGCACAGCCGAGCCGGCCGTAGGCCAGACTCCTCACGTAACCATCCCCCTCAAAGCTGCGCAGCACTGAAGTACGGCAGAGGCCGTACAGCCTAAAGGTCGAGCGGTCAGCCTCACACCCGTGAGGCATGGGTTCGATACCGGTCGACCCCCCAAAAAGGGGGAATGCTAGCGCAGCGCACATGCGGACACCGCTAGGTGGACGGAGCGCTCCTCCCTTTTCGCCTCTTTTTGCGCGCTGGGGGAGGGGCCCCGGGCGCGCGCGTAATAGACAGTGTAAGCTCACAGCAAAAATGGTAGATCCGGAAGCCGATCTCGCGATCTGTCTTAAGGATCACCCTGAAACTAGTGCCAATCGACTCCTCTCGTCGAGCTGAGTAATAATCTGCAAAGTTTGTTCAAATATTATGAGCCATTTTCGAGAAATAACCGATTTAGTCTTTTTCCATTCAATGTAGGGAGGCGTGACATGGGAGTGCTGTATCAACAATCAGTCTAGTCCAGCAGGTAATGGGCGTGCGCTGTTACACGGGAGACCCAGGTTCGAATCTGGGCTGAGGTATATTCCGTAAAAAATTCCCGTACTCGGAGTAGGTCAGCGGATTGGGTGTTACAGCGATAAGTGCAACGGCAATCAGTAGGATAGTGTCCGTGAGGTCGTAAATGGGCACCCAACCAGTGTACAAGTACGTTTGAACTAGTCTGAGCATCAAGCGTTATTATTGAAGCATCATATTTTATATGAGTGGTTTGGTCTAATGGTTAGTCTTCAGGTTGGTCATGCGGGTGATCCAGGTTCAAATCTCGGGTATGTAAATTTTATAATTCTATCAGTGATGGTTGTCCAGCCACTCTATTGAGTGTTATTGTTTGTAGTTGGCTCAGTGTAGTGCTCATTATTATTATCTATGTCGATACATGGCAGTGATTTAACGTTGCATAGCACAGTAGAACCTGACGACTTCCAATGAACAACAATACATTCAGGTAGACGATAGTGTAGTGGTTAGTGCTCATGTTTCTCATTCCCGAGGTCTTAGGTTCGAATCCCAGAAGGTCCGTGCGGGGCCCCACGCCAGTGGGGTGCACGGACCCCTCAGTGCCTACAGCCTTGCGATTTCCCTCTGATAAGACTAAGTAACGCGCGACAGCGCAACCAACCGCAGTACCCTGAGCAACTCAACCAACAGCAGTGGAGACGGCGCAACCATCGGAGCAGACAATACGGCCGATGGTTGCGAGGACAACGCCGACAAGGAGGACTAGCCAGCACTAATGACGAGTCTCACAATAGCGTACCAGAATCTGACAAGTCGGGCTGCTGCCACTAGCATGGTGCCAACGCAGTGCACCGATCAGGCACCACACCGGTGCTAGGTGGAGGAAATTTTTTTTCGCGTTACTTTTTTCGGGCGAGCGGGGAGGGACCCGCGCGCCTATATGAGCAATTTTACTCACATCAAAATCCCGCACTTTTCGAGCCGATTTCGAAACTGAGCCTAAGAACCGTCTTGAAAGTGTTACCAATCGACTCGGTTGGTCCTTCTGAGTACAATGGTGCTACTCTCGGGTCAGTTTATAGATTTCCTGACGAGTAATTGGGGATTAAAGATTTTTGTTCATAGTGACCTCGTCATTTAGGTACGATAGTGCTTGTCAGTTGATCTGGCGCAGTGGTAAGGGCGCGCGCTCTCCACCGGAAGGTCCCGGGTTCGAGTTCCGGGGAGGGACAAGTTGTCTCGTGACCAGTTAATATACTATATGATATAGTTATGTGTTATATAGACAATTTCGTGGCGCGTGAGAAGTATATGCAACCAGTAGTACCATTATTCCACTTGTATATACATTGTGTGTGGGTGTTTACGAGTTGGGTGGTAGTGTTGAGAGTGAGTTGATGTTGGATACAGAAAGAGGGGGTCGAATGTAGTTTCGAGGAGTGTACTGTAGGAATCACCAGGTTGGAGCTCGTATTAGTAGTCATGCCTGTCCTGTTCAAAGTCACCGGGTGCCATCATTACGTGTGTCATGCACAGTCAGTATGGTCTAGTAGGTTAGGCTGTACGTCTTTCACTCTCCTGACCCAGGTTCGAATCCGGGTGAATGTACTATTCCTACATTGAGTAAGAGCCGAGATAGGCTTGCTACACGGTGGCGTGAGTCAGTGAATGGGTTGGAACAGTGTCTCGAGGTCCTGGGCAGGCAGTGAACCACCATTTACATTGTCCTATGGCTCTGAGCTCGGAGCAGCCCATTACACAGTACTAATTTCTATGTCGGTGATAGCTTAGTGGTTAGTGGAGTGGACTCGCATGCGGATGATCCAGGTTCGATTCTCGGCAACACACTGTAAATATATTTTCTCTGGTCAGCATGAAAACAGCATAGCAGTTACTAATATTGCATAGAGTGCGAGTTAGCGTAGTGGTAAGCACTCAGGTCTGCGTACAGTTGGTTGCAGGTTCGAGTCCCACCGGGTCCGTGCAGGGTCCCCACTTTAGTGGGGTGCACGGACCCCCTCCCACCGGGATACCTGAAATCCTGTGTGGTTAATCTAGAAAATGCGCGAAAGCGCAAGTGAATACCTAGATCTCAAATGTCCGGCATAGGGCGTCTGGTGGAGACCGCCCAGCTATCGATCCCGTGATCGATAGCAAAGCGTCGGCTCAACAGCGAGTCAGTAGCAATGTCGGCCCAACATCGTCAGGATATAGGAGTGACGAGTGGGCCGACGACTACTGTGCTTGTGACTCTGACTACTCACTACAGGAGCCATTCAACTTTTCAGTTTAGTTCACCGCCGGTGAACCATCGGCCAGTGTTTACAGTATTTCATGTCAAGATCTTCCTTCGTATACGCCAATTTCTCCCGAAAGGGAGTCCTCTACGGGCTAGGTGGAAGGCGCCTTTTTCTTCATCTCCGCCGCGTACACTTTTTGCGCGTTGGGGGAGGGGCCCCGGGCGCGCCCTTATTGTCCGAATGGTGGCTCACTGCAAAAAGGTACGACTGCGAAGCCGATTTCGCCAATGACGCATAACATCACCCTCAAACCGGTACCAATCGACTCCTCTCGTCGTCCTGAGTAACATTATGAAGAGCTTTTTCAAATATTATGCGCCGTTTAGGATTAATTAACGATTTTGTTCAATTTCAGTTATAGTAGGGTCGTTCAACAACCAGTCACAGTATCAATAGTGAGTTTAGTCTAGTAGGTCAAGGTGGTGGGTTATTCCTCGAGTGATCCAGGTTCGAATCCTGGTGAGAATAATTTTCGGGATCGGTCTCAGAACTCGGGGTAGGCTAGCGTCATGGTAGTTTAAGTACTCAGTGCTACAGTAGTGAGGCGGGAAGATGTCCTCGAGGCTCGGGGGAGGCGGTAAGCCACTTCCAAGTTGATCCAGCAAGTCTGCAAGTTTAGCGACCTTATCACACAATCAAGTATTTTAACGGAGGTTTGGGCTAGTGGTTATTGTATTAGGTTGTCATAGTGGTGACCCAGGTTCGAATCCTGGTAAAACAAACTTTATATTTATGCTGGTACTTGTCATCAGGTTGCGGACTTCAGCAGTTCAGTCCTGTGTAGTGTAATAGGGAGTGCTGACTCCCGAAAAACAGCGATTATTCGAGATGGGTAGTAGTGTAGTGGTTATAACTCAGTTCCTTTAGCTGCATGGTCACAAGCTCGGATCTTTGCAGGTCCGTGCGGGGTCCCCACTCTAGTGGGGCGCACGGGCCGATCAGAAATTCAAGGTTACGATTCTCTACGCTCTTCAAATGGCGCGCGCCAGCGCAATCGATAACCTAACTCGGCTCTACTCTATTCGATGTGAGCCGAGCAAGCAGTACAATGAACAACGCGCAACCATCGAGCACACTGTGCTCGATGGTTGCGAGCCTAGTACCAGCTCAATAGTGAGCTGGTAGTAATGTTGTAGGTCCAATGCTCTCAATGTCGTACCACACTTCCGCCGAATGGGACTAGCATGGTGCCAACGCAGTGCACCGATCAGGCAGCACACCGCTAGGTGGAAGGCGCGCGCTTTTTCATCTCCGCCGTCTCCTATTTTGGCGCATCGGGGGAGGGGCCCCGGGCGCACGCTTATTGGCCGAATGGAGGCTCCCTGCAAAAAGGTAAGACTGGGAGGTCGATTTCGCCAACGACGCATAACATCACCCTCAAACCGGTACCAATCGACTCCTCTCGCCGTCCTGAGTAACATTATGAAGAGCTTTTTCAAATATTATGCGCCGTTTAGGATTAATCAACGATTTTGTCCAATTTCAGTTATAGTGGGGTCGTTCAACAAACAGTTACAGTACCAACAGTGAGTTCAGTCTAGTAGGTCAGCGTGGTGGGTTATCCCTCAAGTGATCCAGGTTCGAATCCTGGTTAGAATGATTTTCGGGATCGGTCTCAGAACTTGGGGTAGGGTAGTGTCATGGTAGTTTAAGTGATCAATGCTACAGTAGTGAGGTAGGACGATGTCCTCGAGGCTCGGGGGAGGCGGTAAGCCACTTCCAAGTCGATCCTGCAAGTTTGCAAGTTTAGCGACCCTATCACACCATCAAATATTTTAAGGAAGGTTTAGGCTAGTGGTTAGTGTGTTAGGTTGTCATACTGGTGACCCAGGTTCGAATCCCGGTGAAACAAATCTTTTATTTATGCTGGTACTTATCATCAGGTTGCGGACTTCAGTAGTTCAGTCCTGTGTAGTGTAATAGGGAGTGCTGACTCCCGAAAAACAGCGATTTTTCGTCATAGATCGTGGCGTAGTAGTTATACCTCAGTTTCCTTACCTGCATGGTTACAAGCTCGGGTCTTTGCAGGTCCGTGCGGGGTCCCCACTCTAGTGGGGCGCACGGGCCGATCAGAAATTCAACGTTACGAGTCTCTACGCTCTTCAAATGGCGCGCGCCAGCGCAATCGATAGCCTAACTCGGCTCTACTCTATTCGATGTGAGCCGAGCAAGCAGTACAATGAACAACGCGCAACCATCGAGCACGCTGTGCTCGATGGTTGCGAGCCTATTACCAGCTCAATAGTGAGCTGGTAGTAATGTTGTAGGTCCAGTAATGTCGTACCACACTTCCGCCGAATGGGACTAGCATGGTGCCAACGCAGTGCACCGATCAGGCAGCACACCGCTAGGTGGATCCCGCGCCGGTTTCGCCAAGAAACCCAACCCAACGCCTTAACAAAATTGCGCGCGCTGGGGTGGGGGCCCCGGGCGCGCGCTAAAATCAAACCGGCTTTACCTGCGGCTAGAGTATATAGGCAATTTGAAAGCCTCTTTTCGCGACCTAGCCATTCAATTGCGTTGAGGTTTAAATAGCATACGTAGCAGCCCGACACAGGTTGAGCACGCACTAGTCTGCGAGAATGTAACACAACAGTTTCGACAAGGAGCCGATTTAAAATGACCGCAAGTTCGAATCCCAGGCCTGACAATTTTAAATCTTTTATTCATGTCACAAAAACCTAGCGGAGCGATGCAGTCCAGCAAGATTCACGCAATTGTGCTGTCTCTGAAAGTCGTCTCCGCCCGATCCGTGCAGCTCAGTTGGTAAAGCGCCCGCCCATTATGCGAGTTTACGCAGGTTCG